TCGCGAAATTTATGGTTCCATTAAATTCTGCTATATACGCAATCTTCAAATTGCTTTTTTATTTCCTATTTTGATAAATTTATCCTAAAACACCATCGCTTCCTTCCCTTTTCTTCCCTTCCTTTATTTTTATATGGAAAGTGTTGTCTGTTATTTACATACCATTGAAGATGAAATCAAGTGTAATCTTAATAAATTTATGCACTGGGACACTGGGAACGACGCTGATAATGATTGACACATGGAGACCTTAGCAATTGATACAGCTGATATCTAACAGAATTAAAGAGGAAAGTCCAACTTAACTCACCACATATAAAACACGTGAAGCGGGCAGGTCTAGGCTAACGTTTTTTCCCTCTACCATTTCAGGGCCTGCGCTGAATTTGACTTTATTTTGCGTGTTTTTTATACTCTGTGGTAGCAAACGCATTCAAAAACCTCCATTTAATTTATTACATCTCCAGATCGCGAAGGTGTTAGCAATGTTGAAGTTGTCGCCTGGCTTCGAGACCTAATACTACAGGCCTTTCGCTTCCAAATGATGATCTCCAACACCCAGGGCCTCTCAATCTTATCGAAGCTATTGGATAGCCTGGTGGAACTGAGGCAGTTGGCTGAAGAACATCGCTTTCAACTCGCAGCACTTAAGGAAAAGGGCTTTCTCTTCCTTAATGATCTGTACAGCGAAACCTTTGGACTGAATTAAGTAGACATTGGAAATACGCTAGCCAATTAGCCCTTACTAACTATTGAACCCGTCTTTTATAGCATGTATTTTTCATTCATAGCAGTCTTTCGTTGCGGCTTTTCTGCCAATTTTTGCGGTTTATTTTCCTAGGCGGTAGCCCCACTTTCCCTCTCTCAATTCTACCACTCGACCATCCATGCAAGGCATAACAAACCAAAGCGAGCACTTGCAGATAAAAAATAATGACTTTATAACGTACATATTTTTTATCTGGGTCCTGTTACATATCTTGTTTAAATGTACCTCCGTTTGTAAGGCATTCAGCCCTCTTGTATGCTCCCACTCCCACTGTTCCGAAAATCGATGCGTATGATATTGCCCTTCACAACTGCCCCGATTCCCCCTTTTACACCTCCTCCCCTTTACCCGTGCGTTTGTTCACGCCTTTGCGGACCTACCCTTGGCAACACTCAAAGACCCCGATGGAAATAAGGCATACGAAATTTGTGCATATTTCGCCGCCCTTTCTTTCGATTCAATGCTCGAAACTTTTTCATTCAACTTATACTCATTTTTGTACTTGCTTCCTTCATACTCTGGGTCCATACAAATTGATTACATTACACTTAACTTACTTGAACTCTAGTACGCAGCTGTCAGAGCATAAGGACTCCTTACTTAAATCTTAATAGGAGCCAAATCCTCATCATCTCAAAGTAAAAATAAACGTAAGCAAGTATGAAAAAGAAAGGAATTAAACGTAACGTACTTGAACGTCTGTTAAAGCAGATGCGTTTTTATTGTAAATACAGTACGCGCCAGAATACGTGCAACATGCCGACATATACGAAATGTTGATACTCTTTCGCTGATGGGTAGTGACTCAGGTTGTGAGACTGATTATCGTGTAGTCTATTCTGCAGTCATTTCAGTCATGTTAGGATGCGAGCTTTTTAATGAGCTTCGTTCTGACCACTAACAAAACGTATGTACCGTAAAAAGTAACTACTAAAGTAATACGCGTATTTATCATTGTTTTTGACTTCCTTTATAAGTTCAAATATATTTTGTGGAAAACTTAAACGAAAATATTATATCCCGTACTCGTTTGGTAGAAAATTACACCTTTAAATTTCACGCTTAATGGAAAGGTATATTTCGGTTTCAAAAAAAGTTTCTAAATTGCCGAAACCTACTGACTGCTACATTCGAATTCAAGGTTCACGAACTGCGCACTGTGTACATCCTGTTCAAGGAAAAGTACGTTTTCGCCTACAGTTTGAGGAAGAAGTCACGTACTTCTCATAGAATTTTGCAATAGGTGTGGAATATGTTTTTATACGGTATAGGCAGCATTCATAAATCAACGGATACGATGTTTTATGAACGAACACCTCACAATCGTAAAAAAGCTCATGATTAGAATTTTTTAAACCTGAAAGATACCCTTTCTTTAAGTATAAAATGTAAAGAAGGCGTAATTTGCTACTAAACGTGTACAAGAAGTGATTATTTTGCATACGTTTCCCGCATAACATGTTTGAATTTATAAAGGTAGTAAAAATCAATGTTAAATACGCATACTATTTAGGTAGTTTTTACAGTACATACGTTTTGTTAGTGGTCAAAATGAAGCTCGTTAAAGAGCCCGCATCCTGTCATGACTGGAATAACTTCAGAATATACAACACGATAAGGAATATCACAACATGAGTCAATGCCAACTAGTGAAAGAGTATCAAGCTTTCGCATATGTCGGCATGTTGCACCAATTCTGTCGCGTAGTGTATATTACCTACTGATACTTTGTTAGTAATCTGCAATTTCTTAAGTTATATTGAAGGAAATGGGGAAGAACGCCTTGCAGCTCCCTATGGTTAAAGTATGTGTAAGAGAAAGCCCCGATAAACACGAAAATTTAAAAAAGGAACTGATGTACGTAATAGCTTACGACATGCTCCCTAAACGAACCGCGCGGTGGGTGGACTGGACCAACTTGGAGACAAGATCAGGGCACGACAGATGTTACTAAGTATACGCTCACCTAGCGAATGCCGCATACGTGGGAGGGGGTATTGGCACGTACAGATACAGCTGCAGCCCCACGCCATTCTTGCGACCTGCGTGAGATGGCAACTCCATTTTTCTTGGCTCATTCTTGACTAGATGTGTGTGAGGATTGACGACAGTCGTACCTGCTTGCCGGACATGAATGCTCGCCGGGTGTCTTACAAAACATCTCGGATGAAGTTTAAGACGCGCGTAAGCTTATATTTCCATCTGCTATGCTTGTTGCCAAAATATGATGCCTGTCAGCTTTTGATACAAGTATAGAAATATATTACTAGAATATACTATCCGCTGGTATTACTGAGTATGATTACTAGAATTGACATTCTTAGCAGTGGCATATGACTTATAGTAGCAGTATCCTAGCCCAAGCTCCGTAAAATTTATCACAGCCTTTAGTTGGCAGAGGTGAGAAAGCGGAAACCAAGGAAAGCTCTGCTGTGCTCTGGGCCTCAAACATGTATTTACTTGGAATAGCATAAACCCAGATTCACACTCCCTGTTGGGATGGAGGGGATATGGGTAGACGTTCTGAAAAGTCCAAGCTACATATAGATACTGTAGTAGACCTATACGTAGTCTAGATATGGCAAGCTTTTCGATGAAAGTGCATGATAGTACTTGTGCTATTACTTACTAAAGTTTTATTAAACGCACAAGCTAATCACTTTACGCTACACAGATTGCGAGTGCATACTGGGTGCCGACTTTCTCAAAAGCGCACACAGGCCATATAATAGTATACCATTTACTGGCCTTAGTAAGCATGATTATTAGAATTAATACTTTAGCATAAACACGTTCTTCTAGCAGCAATACCGTTGTCCGAACTTAATACAAACGGACACAGCCAAATGAATATATTTAAGAGGGTGAAAACTATGGCACGCTCTGCTGCGTGCAAGACCCCAAACATGTACTTACTCGGAATAGTTTAAATCCAGATTCACAATCCTTGTTGAGATCAACGGGGTATGAATTTCAGCGTTGGCTTTAATCAGCGTCACCCTGACAAATGGTAGCGTCAGCGTTAGTACCAGCCCCACTACATTTCTTGTTGAGATTGAGGAGATATGTGCCCAGTGGTGACTTTAATCAGCGTCAGCCAGATATAGTATCAGCAATAATACCACTCAACTACACCCC